GCGTTATTCGTGATCAGCTAGAAAAACGAATCAGAATATGTATAATAAATCAAAAAAAACATTCCGCTGCAAATTTGAAATCCGTGCAATTTATAATATGCTGAAACAAATGTAGCAGGTGAAGAACATATTTTCCAGATTTATAAATTCAAATCTTTTTCTCATACCTCAATTAGAGTCCAATGAACATTATTTTCTTCAGACAGCATGTATACTTGTTAGATAAATTTCCATACTAATGCGGCTGTATCATTTTATTTTAGAATAAAAATAAAATAATAGAAAAGAATTCTCTTAATATAATGGCAATTAAGAGTATTACGGCCGCATTAGTATGGAAATTTATCTATCTTATCTTGCCCTTTACACAATCTAACGTCATGTATGCTTGTCATTCCGCTGCAAGTTTGGATTCCGTGCAATTTATAATATGCTGAAACAAATGTAGCAGGTGAAGAACATATTTTCCAGATTTATAAATTCAAATCTTTTTCTCATACCTCTAATTGCGTACTGCTCCTAATAAGTTTGACAGTTTCTTTTCATGTGAGTTACCAATACGTTCTGTTTCAGATCTTTGCAAGTCTACTAGATAAGCCTTAAATCTGTATTTATGACGTATACTAAATTGCTTATAAAATGCATCATTTGACAATGTATTTAATTCTTGTTTCATGTTCTTCACAACTTTTAACTTTTGTATGTACTCTGTTGTTAGTAGTTGTCATTGAAATGCTTTTACTTTTGATGAATTTTGTAATTTATTATTTGATAATTTAAAACGAACAAATTTTGGTGTAAGAGAGTGAATGAGATAATAACGGAGAAATTCAATATCACATTGGGCTTTCATTAGTTTTATAGTTTTCCGTTCTATATAACGAAATCTCATTAAGGCACATTCGCCATATCTAACACGAATGCATTGAAATATATCAGTCTTTAATAATATAGTGTTTTTTTTATAAACTTCAGTATATAGACGATTACATATAAGAAATTTTTGCTTTTGCGAGCTTTCGCTCTCTCCAAGAGCATCAGCAGGCAATTTTTTATTTAAATTTCGTTATTATTTACATCAGCTATAACAGTGTAAAACTTGGAATCGGAAAAGTGCATGACCAACCACCCACTTTTATGTGTTGGCCAACCAGAAAAGTGAATGAAACTCTTGTTGTCGTCCACTTTTATTGATGCAGAATCAAAGTGGATGACTTCCATCGCTATAGTGGGTGACTCCTTGTCCAATAAGAAGTGTTTTCTTTGTGGTGTTTGACATGTATGTCAAATAACACAAAGAAAACTTGCTGTTATATACATAAACGCACAAATATATATGGAGAGACATCAGTTTATTTACATATGAAATACAGAAGTGTTTGGATTACGTTGAAATTCTAGAGAGTTTTTTCTTTATTTTAGCACGCTTCATTTGAATTATGCTCGTTGTTTCTAAACAATGCAAAGTCTATTAATCTGTCACTAACTAAGTTGTCCAGCGCTCATTGAAGCCTTGCTCTAACCTTTTGTTCCAGGCGACAGATTCGAATGTTATATGTCCTGAATGCGGCTATTCTACATCTCAGTTGCAAAAATTCTTGACACATGTAACCAACGCGCACGGCACAAAGAAGCAAATGTTGATAACATGTCAACTATGTAATTCTACTCTGTCAAATGTCAGAAGTTTTTCCTCGCATGTTCGAGCACAAAATAACAATGATGTGAACGATGATAGTGACAATTAGAATGAGTTTTCTCAACTAAATAACAACTATGTTGATGATTAACACCTCCCTCCCATGGAAGAGGAGGAAGCGGACCAGCAAACATTTGTTGCAGGCAGAAGGAAAATGTTTATAATGAGAATTTTGCATTTTCTGTTTACTCTTCAGGCGGTATTCTATGTGTCCGAAGTAGCGGTTACTTACGTTGCAACAAATTTAGCTGATGTTCTTGAATGGATGTTACAACATCAAAGATTCATGTCTTCAAAGTTGAGTGAAGAGAATCACTAAGCCTCCTATGTGTACTTTGTTCTGTAGGTTGTTGCGGAAGCAATAACGTTTTTGAGAGACCTAATCGTTTGCGAGCCGTTGATAAATATTTTGACTATTGTACTCCACGAAGTGAGAGTGCTTTGGTAAGTCAACAATCTCCCTGATATTTTCCTTGTTCTAAATATTTCTGTCTTATATACCGCTAAAAAAGAATAATTTCACGAACGTTAAATGGAGTTTTGTTCCATTTCTGCAGAATCTACCACATTTTTTATCGCTTTCAGAAGTACAAGTTGATGTAGAGTGTTCTGCTATCTCACATAATCGTGTAATGTTAGACGTACATGACGGAGCATTTGCCACATCACACCGTGGTTTTAAAGATCGTAATTTCTTAAAAATTGAATTAAATGCAGATAAAGTAGCTTATTTATTGGACTTTGCTTAATATTTATCGTGATCGTCGTTCTGGACAAGCGTTCAAACGCTTAGGGGTTGTTCGGAGTCAGTACATTTGTCTACTCATCCTCCTATTGTGGTAAATAGTTGCTGTTTGTCTACCCATTCTCCTCCTGTCCACGTAATGAAAAACATTTTAGGTCGAGATTTGTAAAAGTAACGAAATACATTTGATTTTTCACTAGTAAACATATTTATAGATACTGAAGTACTCACAGAAGTACAAAAACAATTTTACTAAAACCTAAAAAATGCTCTACAGACTACTTAAATATTATGACACATTTACGCGATTAAGTAGATAAGTATTTAGTAAAACCTGGAGCTGACGGAATTAGAGCGCTCAACTGTATCTCTAGCCTTTACTAAAGAAACTAAGCGCATGATGATAAAATATTGTATTTCAGCTACACTCTATCTCTCTTGTAATATGTAAATAACCCCTTAGGGGCCGCGTGTGGTTCTAAAAGCACTCAAACATGGACTGCTGGAACGTGTGATGGGTAAGAGGCTCTAACAGATGCGTAAAATGTATACTTCTGTCTCTTTCTGTTAAGATGACTTTTTTAGCGATATCAAGAAATTATGTACTGATGGTATCTGTGTCATTGTAAACGGAATTGTAAAACATTATTTTAGTGCTCAATTTTTCACCATCGGCGATTATCTTGCCCAACAAGCGATACATGGACGTAAAGAATAGGTGGCAGCAAACCGATTTTGTCCTGCATGTGATGTGCTCATTGACTTATCAGACTACGATTGATCAGGTCAAATACATGACAATGAGTTTGCTATGATGCCGCAGCTGGTTTGACTAAAATCTGCGAAGAACAAACTGCAGAAATCAGCTGATGATAATTACAGATGAACAGTTGTTTATTTTTAATTTAGATTCCAGTCGATTGTGCTTTGAACGATTATAATGATACGTGTCAAATAATTGAAACTATGGTACATGGAGGGAATAACGTTCTAGCAGATTTTTGGCGAAAATTCCATGGCATAAACAAGCGAAGCAGGTTCTCAACCTTGCCACATTTTGATATTACAATGCAAGTACTGTTTGACCAATGCATGTTCTGTTGCCAGGTTCGATTTGTAATTTGTCTATTTATTTTTCTTAATGCATAGAACATCTTACCGTACATTGAATTTGTTCTTCTATTTATTAGGAAATTTTATTTTTTATCTTCTTTCAGGCGTTTGCAAATTTTACCTAAACGTTTTTCTCAAACATTGTCTTGAAAACAATCTGTTCAGTATGGATCAGTTTTGTAGGACAGTCAATGCATTTGAATATAGTATCGCTGAACGTACATCCAAGCCACATTTGAATATGACCACTGAAGACCTAGCGTCTCAAACAAGCGGGGGTAATTAATTAGTTACTTACTGGGGCGGCGATGGATGGAAATGTTTCTCTACATCAGGTATACTATTAGATGCAATCCAAGTCTATCGTTTAATCGTGAATTTGCCATACATTCTCAAAAAGTTGATTCATAATGCAACATTCGAAGCGCGCGATGCTGTATTACTTCTCGTGGACATCGTGAATTTAGTTTATGCATCCGAGGTCGACCAAGAAACGATGAATCAGTTACAACGATGTACTATACGGCATAATTATTTATTTAAAAATTTATACAGTGAAAACAGCGTGAAACCCAAGTTCCACTTTTTGTTGCATCTGCCACAAAACAAATGCGACGCTTTGGGCCACTAAAATACACACAGTATTTAGCATCGGAGCATAAACACCAGCTTTTCAATGGTACCCATACAAAAACCGCTACATTACATATTTTATTTTTGCCTTTTAGGAAACAAACACCGCTATTTTAAAAGTCTACCTTAAACATATGCCAAACGTCATCAAGCATTGGAATGTGCAAAAGGCTACAACAGTGATGGATCATTATCGTCTTGTGTTTTGGGAAATACAACAATTCTTCAATATTTGAAACCTATCTCAGGCGATACATTATCCGACGCTGCACATTTTGATCTTCCAATGTCTCCTACACACACAGTTAAAATTGTCAAGATCAACTGTATCACTTATACGATTGACACCGTTCTTTATGCAACGAACGATTACTTGTCAGATGATAAACCGAAGTTCATTCGAATAACTAACATTTTCGTTCGTGATCAAACACCAACATTCATTATTCGATTTTTAAAAACCATTCAATTTAACGAACAAACACGTGCATTCGAAGCCATCATCACACAAATACTTGGGACTGTTGCGCCGAAGGATTTGAAATACGTTTGGCCTCTCAAAATGATGGATATCAATGGCACCAATTATGTTGCTTTAAGGCCTTTTGGCAGAGTATTCATAGCTATCTAGTTTCAAATTTATATGTTTCCCCCCGGTTATAACGTCCTCTGTTTTACATTATTAACTTTTCTGTTAAAAGTACTTATACTTTTAACACGATAACTATGTCGTACTGCTGTCGTTTTTCTATTATGCATGAATTAGCTACTCTCGCGCTCTAGACTGATCCTTCTGTTTTAGATTAAAATATGCAGACAAATCGTTGCTGTCAGTGTTCAAATGACGATCCATATATCTCTTTTATTTTGTTGTCTGACATTGAAGGTATTTGTATGTGTGGTCATTTGAAAAAAACACATGCACTACTGCACCCCGATCGTTTGTCTTCTTCATCAACACCATTGACGACTCCTCAAACATCACGTACAGTCACGTCTCAAATAGCAAACGCAAGTGGTGCTTATTCACCGGGATCAAATGCAGCTACATCTCCATCGACAACTATCACACAAAATCAAATGCTGTTCACACAAGAAACATCATTTTCTCCGTCACAATTAGCTTATCTGCTATCTCAGGTGACAACGCCAAGACGAGTGATTTCAAAATTGAAAACAATAATGTATTATAGATGAGTTGAAAGCTTTGCATAAGAAATATGTACTTGTACCTATTGATAAAGCGAGTAAAAACATTGCTGTCATCTGCAAAAGCTTTTATTTAGAAAAAAATCTGGCAGAAATCGGGTATTATATTCCATCTGATACATATAAAATCGAGGATAGGTTACATCCATCAGAATTAATTGATTCACAATGTATACATTGTGAATGTGAGCAGATTATAATATAGACGTTGCTGATAATATGAAAAAGCTACCGTTCATTTATTGGATCCCAAAATTCTATAAAAATCCAATTAAACAACGCTTTATAATCTCATCATCCTATTGCTGCACTAAAAAAGTTAGCTAAACTGCTCTGCTGTGCACTACGTTTAATGTATGAACAACAAATTAAATATTGTAACAATCTACTAAGCAGAAGAGAAAAGATCGATTTTGGATCATCAACAGCTCATGTCATGTATTAAAATGAATTAAAGAGATTAATCAGAAAAGATCAGCTAGAAATATTGAAACATACGCCTTTTCAACATTATATACAAGTATACCGCACGACCTGAGAGGATTTTTTACTTTCACTATCTTCTCTAATATTGAAGCTAAGTTCGCAAGAGCTGGGTCTTAGAGATTTCCGAGCATGCTGAATCTAATGGCATTATCAGTTTTCTCGGTCCCCATACTTCATAATGAGATTCCAGAAAATCGATTTTTCAGCGATGAGGTTTTACGGGGCACTTTTTTCTCAGAAGTCTTAGACATCGAAGTCAAACAACCATGTAGGTCTTGTAGAGCGTACTTTTTTCTATCTAGAAATTATTGTGTAAAAATTTTGTGTTATCTCAGGCTTCTGCCAACGAATTTTTACGGAAAACCCGAGGTTTCTGGAAAACCTTTCACAGAGATGGCTATGCGGTCTTCTGGCTATGCTTAGACAGGTCTGTGAGCTGTTTGCTTTGAATTTATTGTGCTTTGTAGGTCTATTGAAATAATTATCAATTTTAAAGACAAACAAACACTTCTTTTATTCAAAAACTAACTAAAAAAAGTACAAATGATGTGCACATATAGAGAATGTTATACAAATTAATTAAGCATGGTTAATCATTAGTTAAAATGTTTAATTTTCGTCTGATGCTTGTGTTTCAGTG